CACACAATGCTAAGTAAACAATAAACAAATATGGGGGGTGGATTTTGATTCAAGTCCAGATAGGCATGGTGGTTCACACCTGCATTCTCAGTAGGATATGGAGGCAAGGCAGGAGGAATACTGCCAGATTGAGTCCAGCCAAGGCTGTGATGTAATGAGACCCTGTCTCAGGGGAAAACAAACAAAGAAAACCAAACATAGTGGTGCACGCTGGGAATCCAGCATTTGAGAGGCAGAAGCAGGTGGCTTACTGCAAACCCGAGGTTAGCCTGGGGCTGTAACTAGAGTTCCTTGGAGTTCCAGGCCATCCAAGGCTACTGATTAAGACTAGTCATCGTTAGGTTCCTAACTGTGATGATGAAGCATGGTTACATTGGTGAGTTTGAAATCATCGACGACCACAGAACTGGGAAAATCGTTGTGAACCTCACAGGCAGGTTGAACAAGTGTGGGGTGATAAGCCCTAGATTTGATGTGCAACTCCAAGACCTAGAAAAATGGCAGAACAATCTGCTCCCATCCCGTCAGTTTGGCTTCATTGTACTGACAACCTCAGCTGGCATCATGGACCATGAAGAAGCAAGACGAAAACACACAGGAGGAAAAATCCTGGGATTCTTTTTCTAGAGATGTAAAACACATTAATAAAAAGCCTCCATGGACAAAAAAAAAAGACTGTCTATAGCTGGGCGGTGGTGGCGCATGCCTTTAATCCCCGCAGAGCCAGGTGGATCTCTGTGAGTTCCAGGACAGCCTGGGCTACAGAGTGAGTTCCAGGACAGCCTGGGCTACAGAGCAAGATCCAGGACAGGTACCAAAACTACACAGAGAAGCCCTGTCTCAAAAAACAAAAAAAAAAAGAAAGAAAGAAAGAAAGAAAGAAAGAAAGAAAGAAAGAAAGAAAGAAAGAAAGAAAGAAAGAAAAGAAAAAAGACCCTGTCTAAAAAGTAACACCACCTCCCCGCCCCCCCAAAAAATAAATTTTAAAAGTTAGATGTATAATTGGGAAGTTCAAAGACAAACTATCTTCAGTCATAGTTGGATCCAGGAGCTGAAATCCGCTTCCGTCAATGAGACAATACCACTGACTGGGGGGAGGGGGGATGAGGGGGTTCAAATGCTGTGGTTGGCCAGTGGTAGGTGGCTGCTACTTCCTCTGCACACAAGAGCAGGGTTGCTGGGCAGGTAAGTTACTTAGAACAGGAAGCCTTTGGCTTTGTGCCTAGCAGGCTATGGCTCTTGAATCAAATGCTACCTCTGGGACTCCTTGACCCTGGAAGCTGACTTCACAGGCATGAGACCCACCCAGTCCTTTGTCAACAAACCAAGCCGATCTTAAGTATGCCTCATGGGCATGTAATCTGGGAGCTCCACACTCCAGCCTGCTCTTCTCGGGCTTCCTTCCTGAGCCGGCCCTACCCACAAAAACCAGCCAGGAGAAAGCCAAGCGCACTTGGTGGCAGTCCAGAAGAGCAGGTGCAGAGGGGAAAAAAGACGTCGACGCATGGACTCTTTGACTCATGGGAGAAAGAGGGCAGGAGGCGGGATTTTGCAAAGTCAATAGTGCAGCTGAGGCTAACACTCTAGACCTCCTCCATCTTTAGCTGAGTCGGGACAAAGGGGGCTTCAAAGAGTCAGAGGTGGTCGGCAAGGTAAAAGCTTCGCCATGCTCATCTTAGTTTGGTTTCTGGAACCACGATAGAAGGATCAGCTCCCTAAATCTGTCCTCTGACCTCCAAGCATACCCTCCCCACCATGAGGAGAAGAGAAAGTGGGGGGATGCGGAGGTCATGATCCAGGACCTGTAACATGGCTCAGCAGGTAAAGGTACCAAGCCTGATGACCCGAGTTCAGTCCCTGGAGAGCCACAAAACTGTCTCCTGCAACTTGACCACATGCTGTGGCACATAAGACTCTCCCAAACACAAATAATTTTAAAGTATAAATACACACACACACACACACACACACACACACACACACACACACACACGAACAAATGCCACTGATGGCCAAGTGGTTAAGAGCATTTGTTGTTCTTTCTTGTAGAGGACTGAGGATTATGTCCCAGCTCCCACACTGAAGTTTACAGCTATCCATAACTCCAGTTCCAGCGGATCTGATGCTCTTCTGGCCTCCACAGGCACCAGGAACACATACGGTGCACACACATACATGTAGGGAAAACACTCTTGTACATGAAATTAAATAAATCTCAAAAACAGAAGAAAGTCACCAAGGCTCTGTGCATGTTGACCTAGCACTCAGAGGCAGAGGCAGGTGGATCTCTGTGAGTTCAAGGCCAGTCTGGTCTATGTAGGGAGTTTCAGGCCAAACCAGGGCTGCATAGTGTGACTCTGTCACGGGGAAAAAAAGAAGTCACTGATACCTAGACGGCAATTTTTCTGTGCCTACTATTCACACGGCTAGCCTCATGTCACACTTGTTCCAAGCCAGACATGGTATCTGGAGGTCATGTTGCATCTTTACTAAAAACACGAACAGTGCAGATTCACACTTCGTCCTGCTACTTCTCAGCTGGTGGTTTGGAAAGGTCCTATGTCTCAGTTTACCTTTCACCCATGGAGATCATTACAATAGTGCCCCCTTATTGGGATTCTTTCTGTTGTTGGGGGGCGGTGGTTTGAGTCAGGGTTTCTTTGTGTAGCCCTGGCTGTCTTGGAACTAGCTCTGTAGACCAGGCTGGCCTCAAGTTCACAAAGATCTGCCTGCCTCTGCCTCTCAAGTGCTGGGATTAAAGATGTGAGCCACCACCACCCAGCCCCTTATTGGGATTGCTTCTTTTTGAGACAGAGTCTCTCTATGTATCCCTGGCTGATCAGAACTGGCTCTGTAGACCAGGCTGGCCTGGGACTCACAAAGATCCGCCTGCCTCTGCCTCCTGAGTGCTGGGATTAAAGGTGTTCAGCACCATGCCTGACCTCTTCCTGCAATTCTTGTGAGCAATGAACAAAGACAAAGGAATTCTGAATAATGTCCCTTCTGGACCTGCCTTTTGTGTAACTCTGACTTTGGACCAAGTCATTTCCCCTTCCCATGACTCGGTTTCCCCACCTCCCCCAAGTTTTGATTGGTGGCATTATTTGCAGCAGGCTTAGTTGAGTGCCTGGTAGACAGTAGAAGTTAACAGCCTTTATTAATAGTATTGTTAAAGGGATATGGTGGCAGCCGGACTGGAGAGTGCCAGCTAGCTCATGGCTCAGTCCTGAACACTCCACTAGCCTACACCTGTGACCCCAGCCTTGTCATCCTCAGCTACATAGCTAGCTGGGAGCCAGCCAGGACTACACGGGACTTTGTCTCATAGAAACAAACCTAAGGCGGGTGGAATGGCTTGGCAGGTAAAGGCATTTGCCGCGGAACCTGACCATCAGAGTTGGGGCTCTGGCACCCACCTGACGGAAGAATCAACTCAAAACAAGTTGTCCTCTGGCCTTCAGAAGCCGGCATGGCTTGCAAGCACACAAAATAGCAAGCAAGCAAACAAACAGAATCCTTAACAAGTAGGTCAGACCCAGCCTTCACTCCTTGGGCCTTTCGGGAGAGGGAACCCAGTTATGTGGCAGGCTGGAGAAGGGACCCTATCCCAGCCCAGGTGGCTCTCTTGCAAGAAACCTCCAAGTGGGGGACGGGGGCAGGGACTTGGATGTCAGGCAATCCCGCAGCTGAATGCGCCCCCCTCCCCGCCTTCCGTTCTCCTCCCTCACTCCTCCAAATGGACTTTCTCACCAGCTCCCCTCAGCGGCCCTGGGAATGGGAAGAGGCAGGTGGGGGGTAGGGGGAGTGGAGCGACTAGGAAGAGACAAAGGAGGCAAGTCAAAACCAGCCACTAAGACCAGAGGAAGCTGGTGAGATAGGGAAAGTGGGACAAGGACACCGGGAGGGACTGGTGGGGCCAGGGGCCGGACTGACCGGTCCAGCCCCACCCAGCGGGGCTCGGCCTGCCGGGTTGGTCTGTGCTGCCCCCCAGCGGGAGGCTGTGGTATAAAAAAGGTACTGGGTGGGATAGAAGAAACGTTAAGAGTGACACAGGGGCTGGAGAGATGGCTCAGAGGTTAAAGAGCACTGACTGCTCTTCCAGAGGTCCTGAGTTCAATTCCCAGCAACCACATGGTGGCTCACAACCATCTGTAGTGAGATCTGGTGCTCTCTTCTGGCCTGCAGGGATACATGCTGTATACATAATAAATAAATAAATAGACCTTTTTAAAAAAAAAAAAAAAAGAGTGACACAGAAATCTATGAGGCGGAAAACAGAAAATGACAGGGACGCAAAGAGAGATGTAGACAGACAGACACACACAGTCAAAGGAATGCAACGAGACATGGGGACCAAGTGACACAGGCACACGGAGAGACAAAGAAATCCCCGAAGCTGAGCGACAGAGAAACACGGGAACGCAGAGGGGAGACTCCGAGATGGTGAGGGAGACAGAGAAGAGGAATCCGGAACGAAATGATGCGGCGACACAAGAACCCAGGGCAGTGATCAGAAGGAGACCAAGTCCACTGAGAAGTGACCTCGACCCACGACAGCAAGCAGCAGGACCAGGGGAAGGGCTGCGGGGAGGGGGTGTGGCCTCGCCGAGGGGCGGGGCCTCAGGCAGGGAGGCCCTATGAGAGCCCACATACTCAGGCTAACCAGAGGGCAGTGGGGCGTGGTCTGGGCGAGGAGGCAAGGCTTCTGCGGGTGGCAGCCGACCGGAAGTTTAGAAGCGGGGGGGTGTGACCGCATCGCTAGAGTAGAATGACCAGAAGGGGGCGCGGTGGGTCTTCCCGGGGTTTGTGGGGGCGTGGCTCGTTTGGCAATGGGCGTGGTCACATTGCAAAAGGGGCGGTGCTAAATCCCAGGAGAGGGCGGAGATCGAATCGTGGGGCCGGACAGGTGTGGGACTTGGGAGGGGCGGGGTCATAGCTCCGGGAGGGGGCGGGGCCTGAATCCCAGGGTCGGCTTGGTGAGGAGGGGCGGGGCCTGTGACGTCACGAGTCCGGCCCGCTGGAGCTAAGCGAGGGGCCGGGGGGCGCGGATCCTGAGAGCCAGGCGAGGGAAGCTGGGCCAAAAGAACTGATCCGGGGAGCCGCGAGCGGCGGGAGCCGGCCTGGAGCCGGACACTTCAGGCCCCTGACCGCCCTCACAGCCGATCGGTGAACGCAGAGTGGTCCCTAGGCACCCCCTGCCCGGGCCCAGTCCCTCCCCGGGCCCCCCATGGCCCGGGCCGCAGTCCTCCCGCCGTCCAGATTGTCACCGACGCTGCCGTGGTTGCCGCTGCTTCTGCTCCTGCTCCAGGAAACAGGTGAAAACGCGCGGATGCCTTCCTCCGTCCTCGGAGTGGAGGGAGCCCGGGCATCGTCCCCCACCTCACTCCCAGCTCCCCGAGGGCCCTTCCCTCGTGCTCCCTTCCAGGCTGGCCTTACTGATCCAGAGATTCCCTCCACACACCCTACTCCGTCTCCGAGTCTTCTAACCTCCCTCTCTGCACGCCCTCTTAATCACAAGTGCCCATTCTGACCCGGGTTTGTCTGTCCCCCTCCACCTCCCTCAGGGTGGCAGGGGTTAAATCCTCCCCATCCTGCGCCGATCACTTATCCGGAATCTGGATTTCCGTCTCTGCTCCCCCCCTCAGGAATGTGAGGAATGTTCCCCCCACTCACACGAGCTGGAGGGTCGTGATGGTGAGGAGGGGCGACACCCGCCCCCCCCCTTTTTCTTTTCCTTCTGGCTAGGTTGGGCGTCTGAGGCCCGGGGAGAATTGGGCGCGAGGGGACCCACGGTCGAGGTTCCCTGGACCAAGGGTGGGGAGCTCGGGTCTTTGGGGGGCCCCGGCAAGCCAGTGATGAGAGTTGGGGGCACTCTGGGGGGGAAAGGATGTGAGTCCTGAGTGCAAGCCCCAGGCCTCAGGGAGTTTACGGGCACTGACCACCCGTTTCTGGAAAAATGAAAGAGCTGGGATTCTGGAGGCAGAATCTCAGAAGACTGTCCTAACCGGGGTCGAGGTAGAATTGGGGGGAGAGGGGGCTCAAACTTGTGGGTCTTGGGTTTAACTGCGGGCAAAGAACACTGTTCGTTGGGGGTCCAGGGACAGTTGGGGGCCAGAGGCACTACCTTGGCCGTTTCGGATTTAACTGTAGGTGATGGGATTTAATGAGCAGGGGACTCTGACCTTTGGCCCCCAAATATAACCAAGGGCTAAAAGGCCCTGCCTGGAACTGGGGACTCCGTCGGCTGTGGCTGTGTCCCAGGTGGAGTCGGAGGCCGGGAGGGAGGTTTGGCGTTCTCCTCCCCTTCCCCCTTTCCCCGTGAGCGCCGAGTGGCGACGTCCCTGGGGAAGTTTTCCGGTATCGCTTTGACCTCGTCTGGGAGGGGCGGGGCGGGGCGGGAGCGCGCCGGAGTCCCGACGCCCGGTTTCGGGACCTTATCTTCCCTCTGGTCACGCCTTTGTCCTCGCTGCACTTAGAGAGGTAAAGGGGAGGAGTCTCCTCTCTAAGGCACTCGCCCCTTCCCACCCCCACCCACCCCCACCCCCCACCCCCCGCTCCTGGAGGGGAGAGGCCCCGGGAGGAGCCTGGGGGTGGGGTGGGGGAACAGGTGTGCTGACCTCGCCCCGCCCCTAGCAGGTGACCCGGTTGTTTCTTCCTAACTGCAAAACTCTGGGATTGGGGGTGCGGGGGGGGTGGCGGAGAGTTTCTGGAGGGTTTCCTCAGGAAGCGGGGATCCGAGGGATCTTGGGGAGAATGCCTATCACTCCTTTGGCCTCATTTCCTTTCTGATACCTCCTTCGAGGTCATCAGCCCTGACCTCCAAGCTCCCTGCCTCTGTCAGCGACAGAGGGGATCAGAACTTGCCACTCGGGGTGAATTCTCAAAACCCACCGTACCTTCCAAGCCAAGCGTTGATTTGCGTGTGAGCTCACAGAAGGTTCCACAGAACCCCGAAGCAAGCCTTGTTCCCCGTCCCAGCCTGCAAAGGAGGAAACAGAAAAGGCACGCGCTCTTTTCCAGGGTGCACTCTGTCCCTTGCAGGCCTTCGAAAGCCAGCAGTCCGGTGGCCTTGCTGGGCAGGTTTCCCAAAGTGCTTCCTAGACCTCCGGTCCCTTCTCTGCTGGACCTTCGGGGGGGGATTCCCAGCTGCTGGGCATACCTGGAGAAAGCGTCGAAGGGGACCTTGGCCCTTCCTACCCGCCCCCTCTGCTCCTGCCTCCACTTCCTCATTCTCTCTCTCTTTCTCCCTCTCATTTTTCTTCTCCCCCCTTCCGCTCACTCCTTTTCTTTTCATTTCCCCCTTTTCCCTTCTCTTCCCGTCTTTCATCTCTCCTCTCTGTTCCGTTTCTTCTTTGCCTCCATCTCTGTCCCCTGGTCCCAGCGCCCCAGCCTCCCCCTCCCTCCTGGCCTCCTCAGGGAATGGGGCTTTCACCACCTGGACCTCCCGCCTGAGCCTGCTCCTCCCTCCCACTCCTCCCCACCTCTCTCTGCTCATCCACGTCCGCCCGGCAGCCCCACACAGCTGTGGGGGAGGGGAGGAGAGGGGACCGCAGGCCGGGCTGTCTCTTCTCGTTAGGGAAGGAGGACTGAGCAGGAGAGAGATGGGGGGACAGGGACAGGAGCCAAGAGAGGGAGGGAACGAGGGAATCAGACCTCAGGATGGAGTCATGCACAAAGAATGAAGGAAGATGTGCAAGAGAGCGGGCAGAGCGGGCCAGGGGTGTAGGCAGGGACACCGAAGGGGTAGAGAGGTTTGGTGTCAGGAGAGAAAGACCAAAAGACCCCAGCCAAGGGGCTGTGGAGATCCTGTGACCCAGAGAGGTCAGAGCACAGGCCAGTCTCAAGGCCAGGCAGTGTGGAGGGGCCACAGGGAGTCACAGACACCGAGGGACAGGGCGTCTTGCACAAGGGCCAGCTCCCCTGCCCCCGCCTGGGATGCTGTTACATTTTTAATGTCCCAGCGATGCTGAGACACAGAGCAGGAAGGGGAGGAGGAGAGGGACCCAGAGAGATGGCCCAGGCAGTGAGAAAGTGTGTCAGGAGATGTGGAGAGGTGTGGGTGCTGGACACACAAGGACACGGAGCTCCCGGGGTCACAGAAACAGACACCTTAGGGCAGGAGTGGTGGCCATACACCTGTAACTCCAGCCCTCGAAGAAGGCTGAGGCAGGAGGATTGCAGGCTGAGCTACATCGAAAGACCCTGTCGCTAAAAAAAAAAAACAAACAACAACAACAACAAAGCCGAGTGGTGGAAGCAGGCCTGTAATCTAAGTGCCAGCTTGGGGGAGGCTGAGGCAGCAGAATCTTGAGCCCCAGGGCCAGCCTTGGCTATGGAGCTGAGGAAGGAGAAGAAGAGAGAGATGGACTGGGTTGTGGCTCAGATGGTAGTTGGCTCACTTAGCGTGCATGGTGCCCTGGGTTCCGTCCTCTGCACCCCCTAAAGCAGGCATGGTAGCTGTGACCCGAACATGAGTTCCAGATGACATGGCTATGCAGTGGGATTGAGGCCAGCCACGGCCACCCGAGAGGGGCACCAACAAGCTGGGGATGCGGCCCAGGCCGCAGAGTGCTTGCCTAGCATGCATGAAGACGGGGGTTCGATCCCCAGCACCGAATGATCACCGGTGGTAGGGAGCACCTATAATCTCAAAAATGGAAAGTAGAGACCAGAACATCAGAAGTTTAAGGTCATCTTTGGCCACATAATTAAATTCAGTCCAGCCTACTACTGCAAGAGACCCTGTGTCGAAAAGAAAAAAAAAATTGTTATTTTGTGTATGTCGGAGTGGCTCATGCCTTTAATCCCAGCACTCAGGAGGCAGGGGCAGGCAGATCTCTGTGAGTTCTGAGTTCAAAGGCAGCCTGGTCTAATTAAGAGAATTCCAGGGCATCCAGGCCTACATATTAAGACCCTCCCCCATCTCTGTCTATCTATGGATGGATGCATGGATGGATGCATGGATGGATGCATGGATGGATGGATGAATGCATGGATGGATGGATGGATGGATGGATAGTCTCTCTATTATTAATATTTAGATAATAGGCAGGAGTCTGGTGCTTTGGGGAATGAGAAGCCAAGGGACAGGGGCGGAAGGGACAGATCCGAGAAGTGGGACCTGTACACAGGCAGAGTCCATAGTCTCCTGGGACTGGGATGCACACTGAGGTGTCCACTCTCTTGGCAGGATATGAGAGTGGTCCGTCCCAGGACCCAGCCAGGAAGAGCCTTCGAGAACTTCCCCCTGATGAGTCTGTATTTCCACAGGGGAAGTCCTCTGGGAGCTGAGCCCCTGTAGCAAAGGAAGGCTGTGTATCAGAGGGGCCCCGTGTTACCCCCGAGTGTTAAAACTGAGGCCCACATAGAGATCGAGACACAGCCCAGGCCGTGTATCCTGGCCGCGGTGGTTACATTCTCACCCCTCAGACAGGCTCCGGATGTCCGCCGTGGGGGTGGGAACTATGATTAATGTAATTAATTAATTAACCAGGTGGCTGAGGCAGCAGCTGATGCCAGTGCTCCAAGCACTCTGAAGGTTTACTCCAGGCCCGCCCCACCCTGCCATGGTTGGGAGTAGGACACTCCGGGTTTTATAGGTGTGCAGGGGCCAGCGGAGACTTGAGGAGCCAGCCAGGCAGGACATGAAGAAGCCCGGGGTCCAGACTCAAGCTCTCTTCCCCAAGACCCGAGGTTCCGTATCCCCCCCCACTTTCCTCCTTCCGACCTGAAGTGTAGGATCCAGCCCTCCTCCCTTAGACTCAGGGCTCCAGACCAGTCCTCTTCCCTCGGGCTGTGAGACCCTGGCTCCAACCCTCCCCTGTGTTATTGCTCAACGCAGACTTTCCCTCTGGCCTGCAGGAAGCCTGCTCTTCCAGTCCTTGGGGAAAGGAAGTGTGTTTGAGGACCCAGCTGACACTCCATAGAGCGGTCACCAGATAGCCCTGCTGAGGAAAGCAGAGAGAAGCAAGTGTTCCCACGGGCCATTTTCTGGCCACTATCTCTGAGGCGTGGTTTTGGCGGTGTCCCTACAAGGTCACACCACAGCCACCTGCCACGCAGCCTCCAAGGGGGTGTGTTTCTCTCTCTCTCTTGTTCTTTTTTCTTTTTTTGGTTTTTCAAAATAGGGTCTCTCTGTGTAGCCCTGCCTGTCCTGGGACTCACTCTGCAGACCAGGCTGGCCTCAACTGAGAGATCCACCTGCCTCTGCCTCCCAAGTGCTGGGACTAAAGGCGTGTGCCGCCACCTCCCAGCCAGGAGATGTGTTTTTAGCACCAGGCAACGCATCTTCCAGATTTCATGACTTCATCTCCCC